TGCACATTTGGAACCAACGTTTCACGTTTCTTCTACCAATGCTTACCAATTCTTCGCTATTTCGAAGACGTGTTCTCCTTTTGGTAGAGGATTTTTCTTCAGTTGTAACAAACAAGTCAGTCATCTTTAATGACATGTATGAGTGATGGTCGTATCAACTGAATGTTTTACGGAAGAGAAATACTCTATAATCATCATAAAGATGGAGGAAGAGTTGTGAAAAACTTTTTTCGAAATCCGAACCCATGCCTTTATGGCATCTTCTAATATACCTTATCGTAAGTTCCTACAATGTTTCAACATCATTCAGGCTATTCGATAGATCTTTGAGAAAGGCAGACATGGAGTACATATGTTTCTACTTCTTTTTTTGCTACTAGAGGAATTCTCTGGGAGTGAGGTACGAGAAATACGTACTCCCTTAGTATCAAACGCAGAAGCAAGAGCATCAAATAAGATTCAATTGCTAAGCTTACTCAGTTCTTGAGCAGCATAGAGCTCAGGCGCTTAAATGGCAGCATTAATTGACAAATCTATGTGTAAGTAACTACCTGCATCTGTGTAACCTTTCAGCTCCAATTCTTTCCATTCAATGAGTCTGACAGGGATGGTGGAAAAGATAGCAGAAGTGGAAATATGAACTATGCGAGTGAAAGTATAAGCTCCGCAAATTCGTTACCTCTTTGCTCTGTTAGCTTTTCTTGTGTAAGAGAAGAAGCGGAATGTCTAGTTTTTGGAAGACCTGTGGTTTAGTCCAGCCACGTCATATCTCTTCCGAGGTTCGTCTGCAGCAGTGCGACAACGGCAAGAATCCGCCCTTTTAAAGGGCAGACATGCATCACATTGGGAGTTCAATAGGTATGACCACCGTGAATGTTTCATGATTCTTGACATTAAGACAGAAGAACTCTAGTTTGTTGCATAATTTAAGCAAACTAAAAGCTACCATATGTTATTCTATTGCTAAGAGCACATTCCACTGATTGGAAATATTCAGTCTAAGTGAGATGAGAAATGCCTTGCAGTGCAAAAATAATTATCGGCATTTTCTTAGTTTAGCGCACAGTTTTGCTGATAAACTAACTCTGAAATCGTCTTCTTCGGGACTTCACCAGACTGACATTTTTTATTTTTTCATGTTGTGCGAAATTGCGATTATGTTCTGCTTCTTTTCTCACAACGAAAAGACGTTTATGGCAATAAAAAGCCCATGTAGCATCAACAATAACTACAAAACAACAACGTAGCATCAAAGTACAATACAACAAAAATAAACAGCATCTAGTGAAAATAGTGGATTTCAAAATACTATGAATTAAAGTTTGACCGGAATAGGTTGTTTCTTTCAGCTTGGAGTACACAAACACAAAAAGCCTGTGGCATCCTTACATAGGTCACAAAACAAAGTATCAATTTTGCATTTTTCTGATACTGTCTTT